TGTGTGTGTGTGTGTGTGTGTGTGTGTGTGTGTGTGTGTGTATGAGTGTGTGTGTGAGTGTGTGTGTGTGTGTTCCCACTCCGCCCTTTGAGAGTTTCTAATCACTTTGGTGTTCTCTGTCTACAGAGGTACAGGATGAATTTGAGCCGTATGAGTTGATTGACAAACCTGTCAAAGTCCAGAAATCCTCACCCGGAACCACACCTGAGGCAAGGAGCGCCCCCACCACCACGCAGACACCCAAGCAGAAAAAGCCCCCCATCGCCCCGAAACCTGCGATCCTTAGCAACCCGATGGCGGGGGAAAAGTCCCCACAACAGACAGACAAGGTTGGACCTGGCCAGCATTTATATGAGAACGTTGACAAAGCCAGACCGACAGACAGCAGGGACCTTGAGTTTGTAGGGGACGTCTACGCTGTAGTGAACAGGAAATCGCAGCAGAGTGAATCCTGAGTTAGTGGAGAGAAACAGATGGAGACAGGGCGCTTCAGAGACTCGAATCGTAATACAGTATAACACGGATAGCTCGAATTCGTGGGGACCGTTCTCGGTAGTTCGAAGGATATCTTACAAAGATAAAGAAGAAGATAAAAACCGGGATCACAGACACAGTTCGACAGATGCGTGATTTCGTGTCTTCTGTATTCGACCTATCCGTGTTATACTGTATTATCATTATCCTAAACACTATTATGGCCGCCGCTCTTTGATCTCTATAAAAACTTCGCTGCTCACAAATGAAGTGTAAAACACAAGCCTCGCGATAGTTGAGTGGGAGTGCAACCTTTCCGGACTTGGCCCTATTTTGGTTCCAAAAAGAGTCAAATGGCGCGCTCCATAGTGAGCTGGAACTATGTAAATGTCATGTCTTGGATAACAGTAATAGTAGCATGCAAGTCTATGGGACTGCTAACGCAAAGAGAGAGATTATGTGTGTTTTTGAAACGGTAGTGCCATGACGTCATTTGACAAAGCACTTTTTTAAAAACTCCGCTCCTGTAAGCAAAGATCGTGTATACAAGATAGTCCACTCCTCTCTTTGAGCCAATTAAAAAGTGTCCGCAAAATTCGGGAGCGCCTTCTTCGAAAAAGTGCGGATTTTGAAAACAGAGTTACCCTACTTGTATGAAAAATAATAAAAGTGAAACCAACAGACTGTGCTATTTCTATTCTTCTTTTGGAGAAACGAAAGAGAGCTTCAAAACAAAGACTGCAGCGCCATCTGAAGCAATGCGCGGACTTCTGCGGACGCTATTTTTTGGCTAAGTGAACAATTTCATTATGTGCGGTCTTTGCTATTTATAAGTAAACATCATTCAATTGATATATTATTGTATATCATTGAGACGATATTTTTGTTCTCCATTTGTCTTAGTTTTAAACCCCCTATTGTCGGTGTGTATGGTGCTAATTAGACCTTTGTTGGCCTGAATATAGACTATAGGTGGAAGTGAGAGCATGGAAAGGATTGGTGTTATACCTGGATACTTAGAAGTGTCATCTCTCACTCAGAGATTGACGTGTAATGACCCTCCATCTTTCACGGTCGCGAGCTGCCGTTACAAATTCTGCCATATCCAGGCCAGTCCATGACGTTCTTAATATGTTGTCCATCCATGTTATTCTTTGTATTCCTCTAGCTCTCCTGCCCCACAAAGATATTTCACACTTTTGTAATTATCTTGAGTGTTTGTGGGTATTTCACACAACTCGTACCACTCTGCAGTTGTCTTCCTCTTCCATTGTTCATGTTGATACTGAAACTGACTTTATTACTTTATTACTGCACTTTTTTTTTTACAATGCTTAGGCCGCCAGTTCACAGATTCTATATTCAACAAATCTACATTTGTTTATATGTTAAGGCCTTGACTCTCTCATAAGAAGATTCTCGTTAGAGGAGTTCACCATTTTTTTTGCTTCTTTTTTCTCTTTTCCCGGTCTCTGAGAACTAGTCTTTTGGTATTTTCCTGTCTCACATACCCTAAGGGTATCTTCAAAGTATCTTGATCGTTTATGTCAACACATGAAAACAAAATTGTCTTGAGTTTTAACCTGGACCCCGACTATGACAAGACCACCTGGACTGACGTGATGTCCCTGTGTTATAGCCGGACCCTGTTATAGCCGGACTCGGTTAAAGCCGGATCCTGTTATAGCAACACCCTGTTATAGTCATACCATGTTATAACTGGACTTTATTAAAGCCGGATCCTGTTATCGCTGTTATAGCCCGCACCCTGTTATAGCTACACCCTGTTCTAGTCGGACCCTGTTATAACCGGACTCTGTTACAGCCGTATCCTGTTAGAGGGCGTGGGTTCGAATCCCGTCAAAGGCCCGACATTGAGCCCTTGGGAAAGGCACTCTACATAAATTTTCCTCACTTTATCCAGGTGGGAACGGATATCCGGCTATAAACAGCGAAAGATCTTATCAGTTTGTTAGTATTTGAGCGAGTACAATCCGCAGCTTGTCGTGTATATTTCCCGGGGAGCCACTGTTTCTGAGTGTTCTGGGGTCTGCTGGGGTAATAAAAGTTGTAAAGCGTACAGGGCATGCTGTAGAACGCGGATATGCGCTGTACAAATGCAGTTATTACTATAAATATAGTAATCATTATGTGTCAAACGCACAGTGCCTACTTTTCATTCTACCACGTTCCCAGTCCCGTCACCCCACAGGAAAACGATGTGACGATGTGGTGCCAGACCTATGACACCAAAGTGTATCCAGCCCCCCACACCCCTCCATTTTTTTCTCCTGCATTCATGGTACGACACATTATACTCATTCTTTGGCATCTTGAAGGTCATATAGGCACAAATCGCCATTGATCGTTTTGCTTCATTTGCTTTTTTCTGATTTTTTATTTATTAATTGTTCTAGGATTTTCTGAGCTTGCATATTCCGAATGCCAGCTATAAACGAACTTTTTTTTTTTGGACTATACATTGTAAGTGATCGGGCTCAGGCAATTCATCATAAGCCTACTATAGCCGAGCATGCCTATTCCAAGTGCCTGCTATAAACGAACTTTTTTTGCTATACAATATGTACATTATAAGAGATGAGGCTCGAGGATTTAACGTGAACCTGCTATAGCCGAAGTCCTGTTACAATCCGAGATTGTTATAAGTGGACCCCACTGTATTGCTCTTAATGCATTGAGAAGTATGCGTGAGAAATGTTTGGCTTGTTATAGTCGGAGAAAACATTTTTAGACGCTTTGGTTTAGGTTTGTCTTTGTACATGTATATCCAGCTTAACCAAAGTGATGGTGTTTTGTCGGTTTTGTTTTTCTCTTTTTCCTACTCATTGTTGGTTTTAATTTTTGTGGTGCTGACGACTCACATTAAAGGAGAGTGGGATTTTTTATTTTGTAAGCTATTGGCAAGAAGATAATAATATTGTTGGCTTTTGTGAAATTTTGTTTCTCAGTTTCTGTTAGCATTTTCACTCGTTGCCTCATAGTACTTGTAACTATAAGCCTATGTAAGATACATCCACTTTGCTGTGCTGCTAAATTATTTACTTGATACGAGGCTCCTTATTATGGATAATAATCTCTTTTATATTTGTTACATTTTACTTGACAACACTTCGAGACTGTCATCGTTTTTCCTTGTTTTATCAGCGATATTTTACTTTATAATTGCACATCGAGTCACCCAATGTTTTCTCCTTGTATTAACGGATTGAACGATTCAAGTTTACACAATGAGTCGCTCGTTGTCCTCAGTTGTATTAATAGCTACATTATACGACAGCCTATTACAACGTGACTCCGTTGTTCTTTGTAGTTAAGAGGAAGGGGAAAGGGGGTGGGGGTATACATGATGTATAGATACTAAAATCGTTATTACTGGGCCGAACGACTTAAAACTTCGCCTGTAAGTTAATACTTGAACGAAAATCTTTAAAAAAAAACAAAACACAACAAAAAAGTACAATATCTATGCATTGAATGATTTTCATTTTAGTGGCCGCCAAGTTGAATATTACATCATTTAAACGAAATGCTCCTCCTCCGAACTTTACCAATGAAATTTTTGTTTGCGTTTCAGAAATAGGTAGGCAAGAGGGTTGTTATCATCAAATAAGAGTCGAGGTTGTTTTTTTATAGGTTGTTGAATATTTGAGTCATAATATGTCAAAGTTGGCCATCTAAAAATGGCATTTTCCCACCTAAATTTATACGAATTTTGGTGATAATATATATTCTGCAAGAGAAATTAGAAATCACAATCTCTTCTTATAAGATGAAACCACGCCCCTGGGCTATGCCAGATATAATTTTTAAAATCCATTGGTAAACTTCCAAGGAACAGGAACAGGTATTTAAAAAATAGATCTAATATGGTCAAAAAGAGAAAACATCATTTATATAACGAAAAGTTTGTTTCTTATTGCCAATAATGCATGTACCACAAAAAACATTTTAATTGGTCCATAAATACACGTGTAATTGCTACAGTAATTTGTAATGTAGCCTACTCGAGTCTGGAAAATCCCATTTAGCAGACCCCCCCCCCCCCCCCCCCCCACACACACACCTTTAATCACAAAGCAACATGTCAATAATTTAATTTATTACCACCCTATTGTATTATTGACATATTGTTACTTACTAACAGCAGCTCATCCCTAACACTCCACTCTTTTATTGGCTACAATGTACATCATTACAATGTGGATTAACCATTTCCTTTCATTTTGGTGGGGGGGGGGGGGGGGGAGGGGGGTTCATTTTAAACTTTCGATTGCAATTACAATGAAGCTCAGTCATTGTTCACTATTGTAGTTGTAGCATATTTTAGGTAGGAATTCCGAATTCGACATTTTCCGTTCACTACCTTTTTTTCAGTTTTATTTTTCGATTGCAATTTCAATGAAGCTCAGTCATTGTTCACTGTTGTTGCACATAAATATGCTTTTATTGTTATGTTCTCCATTGTTCCTTATTTCAACGAGGACCATTCATAGCAACCTGGACTGTAAAATTCAATTTCTATGATGTGAAATGAATTGTACCGCCCTTCGCAAGACTGAAAAGATTATTGCTTTAAGAGGTAGGACCTCCGAATTCAACCATTTCCTTTCATTACTTTTTTAAAAGTTTCGTCTTTCGATTACAACAGTAGCATAAACATTATCTTCTACGTTACGCCATATTTCAAGGTGGTACATTCCTGAAAAATCAATAATTCTATGTGAAATTGTATTGCCCTATGCAACACTGGTTAGATTATCATTTTATCAGGTAGGACCTCCGGATTTAAAATCCATCTCCGACAGGACTGAGTCAAGTAAGAAAATTCCCATAAAGTTTGTTTGTCTGTTTGAGTAAGGAGAAGCACATCGACACAATAGTGGTCATTTAATTTAATGCTGGGGGAAAGTAAGACATACAGACAGACAGAAACAACAGAGGGGGAGTAAAGAAGTAGGACCTACCAGAGGCGCCATCGCGTAAAGTAAAGTAAGTGCCTTTCCCAACGACACAATATCGGACTGAGGGGAGCCTCGAACCCTCAACCTCACAGTCTCAGTCCCATGTATATAAGCCGGGTTGCCTAACCGCTAGACCACCGACGCCTCATCTGTTTCTTCGAGCTCTGTGAATGTTTTGAAAGCTGTGTTGGAGTCTTCAGTCGATTTGTTTTTTTTTATTGTTCGTGCTTTTAATAACAGCATTGTTGGATATTGATAAGCAAAACTTTATCTATTGCTTGCTTGTCGTAAATTCTGATATAATATAATAATAATAATAATAAAAACATATAACATTTATACAGAGCATTTCCAAATAAGTAGCTCAATGCTCTTTACATTGGAACATCCATTTTCAAAACCTTTCGTACTACTTCCTTTTCTTTCATGCAATGTATATTTATGCACACACACACACACACACACACACACACACACACACTCACACACGGACTATTTTCATTCAGACATAGGCACAGAGCTAAAAAATAACGCTAAAAACTTTTGGAGGATAGATCTAGGCATGTAGGAACAGAAAATGCCTAACCCTATCCGTACGCCCTGGTGTCATTTTGTACCCCCGGGGTTGTATTCTTCACATTTTAATTTTAGAATACTTCTAGTGCGAAGATATCTTTGAAACTTTCAATATTTCTCAAAAGAATCATTTTGACAGACTTCTATGCAAAGCGTACAGATCGGATTAACGAAAGTGGTGGCACAGAGTTCCCCACGTCGTATAGAAACTATAGTACAACATGACGTACGGATAGGGTTAAGATATCTTTTGAGGCTATATCCTGCTGGTTACCCACAACCTATGTACGTAGTATGTATTTATTCTTCTGTGCTGCGATATATTTTTATTTTTATCAATCTTTCAGACCGCTGAGTATGCCAAAGTCGAGATTAAACTGTATGACGACAAAGTCTCTTCCTGGCTCCAAGTGTTCACTCACTCATTCACTCACTAACTCATTCACTCTTACTCTCACTCACTCACTTACTCATTCACTCACTCATTTACTCACTCATTCACTCACTTACTCATTCACTCACTCATTTACTCACTCACTCATTGATTCACTCACTCATCCACTCACTCACTGATTCACTCACTCTTTCACTCATTCACTTACTCATTCATTCACTCTCTCACTCATCCCTTGACTTCCATCGAGAGGGAAAACTGAGTGCAAAAGATGTTGAGATACTTCTCCATGTCCCTCTGGCTGTCACTCCGTCAAAAAGTTATCTCTACATGGCCCTCCTAACTGGTTTGGCCTCCACTAGAATCTCTGTCTTTAGGGCATTCCCAAAGGGTGGTTGGTTGGCGGGTGCTCTTGTGTGGTTTGCTTCTTCTTTCCTATCAAACATCTATCGTCCTTATCTCCCCTCCTTCTTTTTTAGGTCTATTACTCTTTTGTAACACCTCTAATCTTCTGGCGCTCATACGACATTATGCAGTTGCGAGTGCCGTAAAACCTCTACTAAAACGAAACTCGCAAAAGGGGAGGGGGTATTAACATGTTCTATACACAGTAGAATTGTAAATGGGCTGATTTACCAATGCCATGTTCATACTGTGCCAGAACAACATAGGGGGGGAACTGCTGTTTTTTCTTTCCCCATCCTAACTATCATTTTCCCACTACTTCTTTTGTATGTTTGTCACTCTCTTGCGAACTACTATTTCCGTGGTGCCTTGATGGTAGAAGCAGCATTTGGACTGCTCTGCTGACATTAATCCCTTGGCGCTCATATGACTTTATGGAGTTGCGAGCGCCGTAAAACTTTACTGAAACAAAACATTTTCTCAACAGTAAACCAGTCTATTCTTTCAAATTCTTCGATATTGTCGGACCAGCTTTGCCTTCGTCTTCCTCTTTTTTCGACCGCCTCCAGCAGTCTCTGCATGGTGGTTTTTGCAAGGCTTTCATAAATAATAATAGATGGCATTTGTTTGTACAGTGCAAATTCACAGTCAACAACAAGCACAAAACGCTTTACAATCTATATTACTATATTATTACATGTACCTCAGCAGACATGATGGCATTCTGAAATAATCTCAATTTCCTGGGAAGTATAGAGCGCAAGCTGCTATTTTACCGGCGCTAAAAACAAGGCTTTCAATTTCATGCCGGACTGTACGTCCAAATCAGGCGAGTTTTCCCCTTTTTTACACCAGCGTCTGTGGTGTAGCGTTAGGCGCTTTTCTATTGCAGACAGGAGACCCGAGTTTGACTGACTCCCAATAGGGATAATTGTCATCGAGTATCTCGGTCTTTCTGCTGGGATGTTGATTCTGTTTTAGCTCGGGTTGGCCTGACAGGCAGGGTTGAAGCCCACCTCCTAAATGATCTAGACTGTGTTGATGGGGTGTAAAAACATTTGAAGAAAAGAAAAAAAAAAGAAGCAACATTAAAGTTAAAAAAAAAACATTCTTCTTTACTTTATATTATTATTATTATACAAGAACCAGCAGTGGTACTCAAGTTGGCGTGGCAATAGAAGCAGCTCTTCAAGGATAAATTAAATTAGCGCAACACCTTTGAAAAGATGTTGAAGCTGCAGACCATAGTTGAGCTTCCAACAACTGTACCTCCTCTATACATGTACTATTTTCAGACACACCTTATATTATCTGCAGACATACATGTACAAATGAAACAGACAGACAGAAACAACAGAGGGACTATTATGAGGTAGCACTTACGAGTGGCGACATCTAACCATCTGCTTTGCTAAAGAGAAAAATCTCCAATTATTGATGATTAATTTCTATTAAGTTAATTTCAAATATGTGTTACATATGGTCAAAATGCATAACTGAGATGGTTAAATCCATTAGTCTTTTGTAAATTTTGATTGACTTATATACATCATTTCGACATGTTGGTAAGATAATAATATGCTATAAATTCATGAACACAAAGAGTCTTTTCATACAAGATTACACAACTTTTATTCTCTTCGCAAAGCATCCACAATCAAACTAAAACTGTCAGTAAGATTGACGTTTCTCACAAGCATGACCAAACTGAGGTGAACAATGAAACATTATAAAAGAGATGCCGTTTGTAGGTGTAAGTTTCAAACTGTTCATCTTCTTCGCATTTTCAAACCAGACTATACGGTGTGAAACCTGTCCAGAATATGAGCGGTGTGAAACCTGCCCAGAATATGCATGTGTATCTTTAGAAACACTCACATTCTAGGGCAACTGACATATGTCAAAGTTGCAACAATGAATTCCATTCACGCATGAGTAACTCCTCCAAAACTCCCACAAACTTACTACCATTCACTCCCATACATCGACTCACATACAAATAAAAGCACCCACATTCTTGCATAAAACTGTCAAATAGTCAGATACTACTTTACAATCAGACAGAGAGAGTTCTCCCCCAGTGCTCCCCGCCCAACTACTGCCACAGACACTCACCGGTGATCAATCAAACTGTCACATACATGTACTACTGTCCATCAAACAGTCACTTACTACTTTACAGTGGACACCCACTGGAGGTCCATCAGTCACATACTACTGTCCATCAAACAGTCACATACTACTGTCAATCAAACAGTCACATACTACTGTCCATCAAACAGTCACATACTACTGTCCATCAAACAGTCACATACTACTTTACAGTGGACACCCACTGGAGGTCCATCAAACAGTCACATACTACTTTACAGTAGACACCCACTGGAGGTCCATCAAACAGTCACTTACTACTTTACAGTCAGACTGAGAGAGCTTTCTCCCCTGACCTCTACGTCCAACTACTACTTCAGACACCCACCGGTGGTCAATCAGTCAGATACTACTCTACAGTCATAAGAGAGTTCTCGCCCAGAATTCCACGCCTAACTGTCGCTGCATACACCTATCGGTGGTCCATCAAATTGTCACATACTACTTTACAGTCAGACAAAGAGAGCCCCCACCCCCCACCCCCCGACCTCGACGTCCAACTAATACTGCAGACACCCACCGGTGGTCCATCAAACTGAGAACAATGTACCGTGGAGTCCGCTTAACTGAAATCTGTGGGTCTGTCAGAGTTTCCTCCGTTTAGCTGAGTTTTTGGATTAGACAGGTTGCACAAATAGAAGGAAAAAAAGCCCTGGGAAGTTTATTTTCTTTCAGTTAAGGGCTGTTTTAGGATTTATTGTATTCGGTTTAAGCAGACTCCAAAGTATATTCCTTTATGGCCTTTTGGAAAAGATCCGGCTTCAGACCCTGTGTTCATGAGATGCTTTTATGAAAAGCCATTTACGCTTTCGGAAAAATAACATTCCGACTGGTGGAGAACAATGCACCTTAAGGGAAGAGGGAAAAAAGGGAGGGGGGGAATTTGGAGCTAAATTAAATGTTCCTAGCGATCATTTGAGTCCTAGCCTCTTCTTTTCCTTTTCTTTCTTCTTAACCACCTCGATGTTTCTGTCCTTCCAGTTGCTCTTCCTCAGCTTGATGGGTCTGTTGCCAACGTACTTCCCTGGAGGAGAACAGACAGATAAGTATACATGTCAGACATATAGACAGATATGTTAGACAGACAGACAGGCACACAAGGGAATGTGTCATACTAAGTTAAAGGGAACAGATACCATCAAAATTGTCCAAGACGGCCACCCAATCGCTACCCCAGTGCTTTCTTGTTCTATCTCCATTTTTAATAACAGTGAAAACAGTTCATAACAAAAATTGAGCTTAAGAAGAAGTCACATTTTCAATGTAAAAAGAAAAAAAAATGGAGAAAGGACAAGAAAGCACTGAGGTCGCACAATGGTGATGAAAAAAGTTCTTGTTTAACTGCTTCAGCCTGCAGCGCTGCTCACTGCTGCTGACTGTGTCCTGTGTTTTCACACAGAGCTGTTCAGAGCAGATCTTTTGTATTGCTCCCTTTCTTCACATCGCTTTCCTCTCTTCTTTTTTTCCCTTACCACTTACATTTCATCCCTTTTTGCTGGTGTCACCGAAAAGTACTTTTTATACTGAACATTTCTATATGCGAAACAGGTCAGACCGAAGGGCTAGAACCCAAATGGCCGCTGGATCGGAAAAGTAAAGTAAAAGTATATGCGAAACATAGTGTTTTATCAAATTTAGATACTTCTTTTTTAACTTTTAGTGAGACCACCAGTGAGGTCACGAAGCGATCACAAATTAATTTGCTTGCAGAGTCAAAATTATCTGCGGGCTAAATCAGTTAAAGACAGGTAGACATCCAGGACAGTGTCATTGTGATATTCAAAAATAACAAAGGGGGGGGGGGGGGGGAGGATAATGAAGTGTAGGCGATTGGCTGGTGCTTTGTTGTAGTTTGATGGTTTGATTCATCTCTTCTATCCTACTTCTACCGCCCTTGTCTCTCCTCCTGCTTTTCTCAGCATGTTACTCTCTATTGATGCCTCAAATCTTTGGCATTTATGTGACCTATTCGTGTTGAAAGTGTCGTAAAACTCATTACTCATTCTAACTAAAGTAGGAAGTGGTTGTTTGTACAGGTGGACAGGAGAGCAGGTTTGACAACATATACAGGGAGGAGGTCTGGCAGGCTTTTGGGGTGGGGGGGTGGGGGGGCACAGAGTGAGTGGAGACGGAGAAGGAGAGAAAATAAAGGGAGGGAGAAAAAGAGATGGAAGGACAAAATGAGACAGGATTGGAGAAAGAGAGAAAGAGAGAGAGTGAGAGTGAAAGAAAGGGAGGGTTGGAGATGAAGGGAGAGAGAAAAAGTAAGAAAAACTATTATTTGAAATAGTCATAAAATGAGCAAAATGTGGGTTGAAAAGGACTATTTAAAAGTTGTCATGCATACCCTGTATTGCCGAAATCTGTAAAATAAAATCTTTAAAAAAATTTTTTTAGTAGAGGGTTTTACGGCGCTCGCAACTGCATAAGGTCATATGAGCGCCAAGGGGTGGGTGTCAACAGAGAAGTCTTTACAGGGAATCAGACTTACTCTGCTCAAGTCTCTAGCTTCAACAGCACAAGGTCTACTTCAACTATCAAGGCACCCCGGAAAAAGCAGGTCACAAGAGAGTGACAAACATACAAAAGAAGTAGAGGATAATGACCATAGTAAGGATGAGGAAAGAAAAAGCAGCAGTTCCCCATTGTCGATCAGGCACAATTATGAGCGTGACATGAATCAGCCCTTTTAAAATTCTACTGTGCTTGAACGAGAAATGTCCCCCCTTTGGGAATGGCCTAAAGACACTACAGTCAGTGGCACTGCCCTGGGGGGAGAAATAAAATCTTTCCGCTAGTTTACTTCCATAAACTTTCAAAAGTCACAGTAAGAGTTGTGTATGCATGTGAAAATAGGATTTCAGTTTTGACCTTCTCAGTTATAAAACACGATCAACAGCTTTTTGGCAACTGTAGAATGCATCTCTTCAGTATTTTATCTCGTAAAACTACGCTGCTATAAACTGACATATCGCCTTTTTTCCATTTTGATGTGAAAACTTTTTATTTGTTAAATCGAAAGCTAGATCCAACTTGTGTGAAAAAATCAAAGTGAAACTGTATGTGTCCTGGTCATTGAATAAATTTGAATTCAAATTTTGGAAGAACGCTATTTTTCAATGGTGACACTGACAAAAAAAGCTTTTTCTCGAAACAACTGGGAATAAAAAAAAGGTGTTTTATCAGCTTACGCCAATACATGTGATCAGAAGGAAAGACAAGAGGCAAAGTCAGTTCAAGAATTCTAGAAGCAACAGGGAAAAAGGACACCTGACAACCACCCAAAGACCAAAAAATATGAATTCTCCTCAGAATCCTCTAACGGAATCTCTAAAACCCCTGTCGATTGAGAATACAGAACTTAGAGACCACAGCAAATAAACATATTTTTAAAATACATGTATATAAATGCAATTTTTAAAAGTGTATTGTTAAGTCATTTAAGATAAGTTGAATACGACCTGACAGGTTTTTGCTTTTCCCTGTTCCTAAATGACCGTTATGGTGTTTAGTTTCATTTTAATGAGTAAACTGGAGGTGCAGAACAACATGGGTCATTTAAAGATAGGAAGAGCAAACTAAACCAACTGAACCAATACAGGGAAAGAAAGTAAGTAGGACCTACTGGTGGCACCCTCCACCCACCCAAAATATGGTGTCTCAATGAGGTTCACTTTACTTAAACAAAAAATTTTAAAACTCTCACCGTTCATTTCTCTCATGGCTCGAGTGAAGTCCACAGGGTCTTTGAAGCTGACAAAGCCGTAGCCCTTGGTCTTGTTCGTCCTTCGGTCTCGTACAACCTTGGCCTTGAGGAAGCCGGGATATTTGTTGAACGCCCGAACAAGGGTCTCGTCTGTCACTTCATTACCCAGGTCACCGCAGAACATGCGGAAGTCGTCTGAAACCATTACAAAGAGAAGTGAGCGCTAGGTGTGTGTGTGTGTGTGTGTGTGTGAGAGAGAGAGAGAGAGAGAGAGAGAGAGAGAGAGAGAGAGAGAGAGAGAGGTGTGCGTCTGTGTGTATGTGTGTTGCAGTACACGTAATGTGCTACAAGTGTTTAAATGGTCTGGTACCATGGTATCTTTTTAAGTTAATAATTGAGTGTTCCATCTTGAAATGTATGATCCATTAGTCATTAGTATAAAACAAGAACGTGTCTTGTAAAACTTTTTAAAATGGAGGCAAGGTGGTTTCGACAGCTGTTCCCTGAAGAATTCCCCCCCCCCCACTCCTCCCCCCAATTACACTAAAAGGCCCTACTTTGACCAAATTTGAATCTGATCTAAAAACACATTTATTCAAATCTCATGTTCAAGTGCGATTAGTAGTGACAGTGACTGTCCTTTTGTGTATGTGTTCTTTGACAAGTTACAAGTGTATATGTATTTGAAGGAATTGCCATATGTGTCATGACGTGGTGGAATCAGGAGCTTGTCAATTTTTGGGTATGTGGAGTTTTGGTATTATCTTAAAGTTTTTTCAGTTGTCTTGCTTTCAGTGGAAAAAATGTACACCTGTCTTGAATAGAAGTCAAGAAATTGGAGATTGAAGAAAGTGGGTTTCAAAGGTAGAATTAGTGAGAAAATGGCCGCCAAAGTTTGGTTATTTCCATAGCTTGATAGTCGTGGAAACTGAAATCCTACATTTTTTGTTCCTTCAATCAACGTTTTTCAGTAAAATCCCTCCCAGAAATGTATTCTTAATTGGACAATAAAGGTGTTATGTCAAAAAACCAAAATTCGATAAAAAATGCCAATTGGTAGAAAAAAGGCAGTTTCTTTAATTACATTATTTTGACGAGCGCCTGATTTCATCACGTGCCTCACATATGTCAAATGGACCAGTATGCATGAAATGGTGATTTGAATCTTATCTAAATGTGAAGCACTTAGAGATATCAGGGAGTGAGCACAGTAGAAGTGATCTTTATTATTATTATCATCATTATTATCATTATTATTATTGTTATTATTTTTACTATTATTATTATCATTATTATTCTTATCAGCATTCTGCTAACTTCAGTGATGCCAACGGTATGGCACAAAGCTAAAAAATAAGCATTTTCATAATGTATCAGGTATGTCATAAGGCAAGGAAGGGTTAATAACACAAAAGCTAATACGAGGTGCCCATTGGGGGATCCGGTCTGGTCGGGACGGCTTGCTAGCCAGATTGAGGGCGCAAAGCGGCTATCGTGGTACAGGCCGATTGCACCCGACTCATCGTCTAAAAAACAAATATTTTAGTTTTCAAGCGAAGAGCGGGGCAATCGCCCCCGACCTGACCCGACCCCATCCCATCTACAGTGGGCACCCTGTACAAGGAGACAAACAGAGCTGCGGTAGTCCCATCTCACCTTGCTGCCACTCTGACAGCGTAGGGTCCTCCCAAGTAGTGTTGGCTGCCAGACGGATGAACTTTTTTTCTTTCTTCTTTTTCTCCTTCTTGGAGGTGGGAGGCGGCACGTTGGCAACCATCATCCCCTGATTGGGCACGCCGGGGGTCACGGAGGTCGTGGCCATGATGCCCCCGATCATGGTACTATGAGGGGCCACGTCCATGTCAGTCACTGACCGGTCCTCCTCTGTCATTTTGGCAAAGGATGACGGGGTCAGGGGAATGCTGGGTCCAATCTGGTCGGTCGATTCTTCGGAAACACAAGGGTGGAGAGACATATTAGTTTGAATTTCGCGTGAGTATAAAAGAAGAAATGCGGGAAGACATGGAATAACATCAAGAGGCTAGCCCAGGATAGAGAAAGGTGGAAAATGTTTGTTCATGGCCTATACCCTAGTGCAAGGTGAGAAAGGCAATGATGATGATGATGATAAAAGAAGAGCATCGACATAACCACTGTCATTTAACGCTGGGGGGAGGGGGGGGGGAAAGACGCATAAACAGAAACAAAAGGACAGAAAAGAAGTACAACGTACTACTGTAAAGATCCTACTTTATACATTCACAAATATAATTCCACAAACCAGGGTTCTGCATTATTTTTCCTTATACTTTATTTCAAATTGACAAAGACAAATCTTTTTCACCTAACATGGAGAAATACAGTGGAATTCGTAATAGCGTTTTGTGTAGATCATTACAGGCACTGAGCAAGTAATGTATAAAGAAAAGTAACAAGTAGTGCCTGAAATGCCTGCATATTAAGAGCTATGTAAAAAAAAAAAGACCAATTCGTTCAAATACACGCCTGTGTCATCTCGATTGTTTACCAAAAAGTTGTGTTGCAGTGTAGAGCCAAGTATACGGCTACTTTTGATTTCATAGACCAGGGCACAATTCATGACATAAATCTACATCAAGACTAGCTTATCATAGTAATAATGATCAGTTGCCGAGTGGAAAAAAAAAAAGACTGTGACACGTTTGTATTTGCGACGTTCAACGCCCAGACCGCTAGTGCCCCCCCCCCCCCCCACAGTCACATGTGTGCAGGCCGCCCACCCGACCCAGACACATGCGAGAGTAGACACGTGCGCGTGCAACAACGTATATATTGGTGTGAAAAAAGGCTGCCGATCGGCCATGTGCAATCGGTTAAGTGAATAACGGTTCACGATACAGGTGCAATGGATGGTGTCCGGGAATAGATAAAGTTCATTCTGGAAGAAAAATGAGCAGAGGGCTGTTCACGCTGGAAGAGACCTTGTTGAATCTTAGCTCGCTGATTTAAGCGTTCGTTGAATCTGGGTTATTCTCATTGATTATAAAGAAGAAAAGAAACGGGGAATTTATCTCCTCTTGATGAATCAGAGTTCTCGTTGAATCCGAGTTCCACTGTTCTTCAAAGCCTTCTACAACAGCAAGGACAACTTCTAGCACATATACAACCCTCCTCTCCCCCCCCTCCCAATATCTTAACACATTACACCCTACCTCGCCCGCGACTTTCCTTACGCACTCCACCCTAACTCGCCTGGAACCGCCTGCGCTGACCTAGCGTCATTAGAAAACTTCGCCTTGACGAGACTCCGGGGCCGAGATTTTGATTTGCAAAATTATTGCAAAATGTTCCTTTTTCCGTTTGATACCGAAATGAATTTTTTCGGGTTAGTAGTTTTAGTATTAGAGTTGATCGAAGTGCGATCGCCTTTCCGACACTTCGAAGGTGTTTCGACTTGTTGAAAAGCAACACAACTGTGTTCGAAAAAGGAAATAATGATGGATGTGAGCAAAAACAATAATATGACAAATCAAATAAATCAGATTTTGATGAAAACGTTGTAGCAAGAGCTTGAGGCGATTCAGATTTATCAGATGTAGAATTTACATCTAAGGCCTGACTGCAAGGCTGAGAGTGAGAGTGACGGGTCGGACACCCTGATTTAACAAAAGTTAGAACATTTTTAACAGTTGGTGCATACATAAAGTTATATTTTTCTGAAACTACATTCATTTTTCTTTTTCACTTTTATTTTTTCAGGATTTTCTGAATTTGTTTAGTATTTTTCAAACGTGTTTTTTAAACGTTTGTATTTACAGGAGGTGGGTTCCTTCCCCTTGCTTAGGATCTAGGAATGGACTTCTCGTCCAGACCCTTAGGCTTAGGGTGTAATGTGTTAAAATTCTTTCATCTAAAAAAAAAAATAAATAAACACAGATGCCATTGGAATTTTGTGAAAATAAATGAAAATTTATGAAGTTGCATTTGCAATCAAAAGACAGAGGATAGACACAACTTATGCAGGATTTTAAAAAAAAATGCTGAGAATAATAACTGTTCCTCTTACCCTGTTCTGCTTGATGAAAATGACATAAATGTCTAGATTCATTCTTTTTTCTCTTTGAATGTTACACCTCTAATCTCCAGCACTTATATGACCTATTTGTGTAGCTAGAGCGGTAAAATTATTACTAAAACTTAATGAAACACCAACTCCAACTAACACACAGCAGCAAACACGCACCAACCACAACTTCACCTACCTCTCCCCTCCGCACTCGCCTCGCCAGTTTTGAGTTTCTTTTTCTTCTTCTTCTTCTCTTTCCTTTCAACGGTGATCTGTGGGGCGGCTGAGTACACCACTTTGGGCTGGGCTATAATGACTGGCTTAGCCGAGATCTGGTGAAGAAACATAAATTCTTCACTCGTATATATCATATCATCCACGCCCTGTTGGAATCTCGCAGACTCCCAATTAAAACATTTTTACACAAGAAACAAACAACAAAAAAACCCACCTAAAATCTGTACAGCAAGGTTAAAGTTAACATTTAGGAAACCAACTTCTTTCAATGTATTGCGATGGGCTTTGGACAAAAATCCTGTAAAGAAGCATGTGTTTTATCCGAGAGCATTATTATGAAATCTGAGTAAGTGACAAAACACCCTTTGGTCAACGAGGTTCTCCGTTTCAAGCGCAGCTCCTTTAAACCTCGCAAAGATGTTAGAGAGGTTAGAACCGAACAATGCGAGGCTATCTGGTTGCTTGCTCCATTCTAACCTAACTATCTTTGGGGTGTCTTTAAACGCACATATTTAACACACTCTGGGTTGTTTTATGATGTCCCGATGGTCAACTGGTGAGCTATTACACATTTTGTGTGGATGAAAGTTTCCAGCAAATCCTAGATTAAAACACCCAAAGACATTCTCAGCATCCTGCCAAGCATATTGCACACCCTCAAACCATTACAAAGTGACAAGATCTTTCACTGTCAATAGCCAGGTACCCATTCCCACCTGGGAGAAGTGAAGAAGGTTTGAGTAAAGTGCCTTTCCCATGGACACAACTCTGGACCCCTGATGCTGGAGAGCCCAGAAGGCTTTGAAGTACAATGCTGTCAATCACCACTAGAGCATGCACCCGTTCTCCTAAATTCACTACCTTGCTAGAGTAAAAGTTGCACACGACTGATAGAAACAGAATTCAAGATAAAAACTGGATTTAATGCAGATCTGAGCGGGGCTCTATGACCAGAGAAAAAAAACAACAACAAAATCGAAGGACTCCCAATTTTATCGGAGTACTTGGAAAGTGTGGGTTAAGTACTGCACTTACTTCTATAGTTTTAGCAACTGTTTTACGGCAATTGCAACATAATAAGGTCAAATAAGTGCCAAAGATTAGCGGTGTTACAAGAGAGTAACAAACACAAAAAAGGAGGGGAGATAAGAAAGATAGGTGTTTGATAGGAAAGAAGGAAAAAACCACCCCAGAACACCCTCCAGCCACCCACAACACTTACTTCTGCGGCAGGCGTCATGTACTGGACATTTCCTGCCTCAACACCAGGAGGCCTGGGGGGAGGCACCACCTGGGGTCCCGGGGCCGGCATACCAGCAGGGGGTCCCATTGGTGGGGCCATGTGAGGAGGCCCTGGCCCCATAGCCATGGGTGGTGGGGGAGGAGGAGGAGGGGGCCCCAGGTTTGGACCGTGAGGCCCCATATTTGGCCCGTGAGGCCCCATGTTTGGACCCTGATGTCCCATCATGGGGTGAGGAGGAGGAGGTGGCGGGGGACGCATGGGCCCTGGAGGCCCTCCCATCGGGGGTCCGGGCGGTCCTGGTGGTCCGGGAGGTCCTGGGGGCCCTCCTCCCATGGGGTGGCACATGGGCCCCCCCATCCTCATGGGCGGTCGGCCAAAAGGCGGCCGGTGGCCTGGCGGAGGCTGTGGGGGGCGGTGCCTCAGCTGTGGGGGCATAAAGGAGGGTCGCGGCACATTAGGCCCCTCCCCTGGGCCGTAGGGTTTGAATGATAGGGTGGAGCCCTGGTTGGCCCTGCCTTCGGGCTCTGGTGGGGGAGGAGGGGGAGGAGCCAGCACTGAAACCAGACACAAAACCTCAGATTATTTTTAAGGCGACATTTCTTTTCCACAAGTACAAAGATGCTATCATGTACATATCCACAATAAATGGATAACCAAACAGTGATATAAATAAGCTGAAATTTTTAACCATGTCCCCGACGAACCCCCGATCCCACAAACCTCACGATTATGAGCCCGGTAGCCTAACCACTAGGCCACCGATGCCACAATTAGAAATTTAAAAATTCAATAAAATTCATTCCAATTAAATATAAGAAATTCAATTCAATATAAAAAATGGAATTGAATTCATTTCAATTAAATGTACTTAAAAATTCATTTAAGTACCTTTCAATTACATATTAAAAAATTCAGTTAAACTCTTTTCAATTTAATATTTAAAAAATCAATGCTTGTCTGTGTAACCTGATGCGAGAGACATATCCTGTGAGACTGGCCTCTGTGGAGGGGCAGACCTGGGGAGGGACTGTGGGGGTGGGGGAGGTGGTGGCACCAGGGGACCTTGCGGTCGGCCAGGCCTCTCATCGATGTCGTGGAACTCGTTGCCCGGTACAGGTTCTTGGAACTTTCTCTTCTGACCAACTGGGAGTAAAAAAAGAAAGAAAAAGAAGTGAAATTCAATTATTGGGGGCTCTCATGGTCTAGAGATTAAGGTGTTTGCCTCTCATTCAAAGAACCCTGGTTCGAATCCGGGTAGTGACGGGAAAAATTTTCTTCTCTAAAATTGTCTCCTTTCACCTCCTTTCCCGCTCTCAAACAATATTCTGTCGTCTGCTTTCGTCTCCACTTTCTGCCCTCACCCCCTCACCTCCTTTGCCCCGATCCGATCTCTATCGGCGGAAAATAACTAATTCGCCCTTAAGTGAGAGGTGTAACTCTCATGAAACTGAAGATGAATTTCACTTTATTTTCTATTGTTCACACTTTGTCCATCAAAGGAAATTGTTAATCCCCCCCCCCCGACTCGGCCCAGTGACAGAAATATGAAATGTTTGACCCATGATAAGAGATATGTACTAGGGCTGGGTCACGAGCTCGAGAACGGAACTGAATCGTCACTCTTTCCTGCGGAACGCTATTCACGATTCACTTCAGCGGAACGCGGAACAGTATCGCCAAACGATTCCCGATTCACTCCCCTGTCGCTGTCACCACCTTGTGGCTT